TTATTACAACAGATTGTGTTTTGCTCAAGGCACTGTAAAGAGTATCATGACAAGGACTTTGTCAAGTCAGCTGAAGTATTACATCGTCATAGGTGGGTACAGAACCCATGCAGGGACGATATTGCTATGCTAAATCGACGCTTAATTCATTGCTAAGCTAGCCAAGTTTTCTAATACCAGTAAGAAGCTTTTTTGTAGTACGTTGGCAGACTAATTAGCTGTTATAATCTTGTAGACAATGACAACACTCAGGCGAACGAAACTTGTCGCCTTCAGAAACCAACCGGTCAGCTTTTCTGAAACCGGACTGGAATACATGCCGTGGTACATGTGGTGCAATGCATGTACATGCTGTGGTACATATCGTACAATGCATGTACATGCTGTGGTTTTAATTGGGAGAGATTTGTCCATGAAGAGTATGTACACGCAAAGCCCAGTTATTGTGGATTATGCCTGTGCACAACGTTAAAGTTTGCGATTATTTTCGTCACACTGTCCACAAAGGAAAAAATCAGTCAATTCCACATTAATCACTTTGTCGATTGGAACTACAAGGGATTTAGAGGCTAAATGACAGCCAATGTGCCGTCAGCGTGATTTCTAAGCTAAGCATCATTGTATCTTCTGCTGTTGAGCTCGTGCAAAGCAAATATTCCAGTGCAATGATAAAGGCCTTGAAATCGCTCAATGATCATTACGATGTGTTCAATGGTATAGATTCAATCAAGCTACGATGAGATATTAGAACATTCAATCGGCATCGCTCGTCATGACAACGGCCACAGCCGCACAACTAACGCAACCTCTCCGCGCATAAACAGGACAGATTAAAAAATGCAACAAAATGACACGACGAAGTGCCCTATTGACCCCGTGTGAAAAAGGCTACCTCATAATTTGCAAAAAATATGTAGGCGCGTGATATTCACGGTTTTTGGTGAATACAATGTGATTCTAAAACCTCAAGATCGAGAGAATCGCTGTGGCGTCCTAATACGGAGAACTTTTCAACGTTTAAGTGGGTGTTACACACAAATGAATAGTCTCGGATGGACGGAAGGTCTGCGTTAGCCAAAATGCTACCCGTACGGTCCAACCTTCCCAAGTGTTGCTGCACTGTACAATGCAAGTTACGAACGGCTGAACCCACGTAAGACGTTCTAAACGAAGCACAACAATATTTATGAGTTATTGTGTAGGCAAAACATTTGAGCAGCTTGTCTTTTTAACTTGAAGAAAGATCCAACAGTAAAAGGGTTTATTAATATGATTCTAGGAGACAGAAAATGATAAAACGTTGTAACAAGTTTGCAGGCTCGTTCTTCATTTGCATCGACTGTTTTCCGAATATGGCTAACAAAATACTAATCTAGCCTTAGGACTTTTGAACGGTGGGGCTTTGACATATTTTATATCCAAAAACCTTTTCAAGGTCGAAACAAAAGAGGTTGTGGTTACAAGTTAAACGGAAAGCTCTGTAACTAGCTGTTTCCACACCAAATAGCTCAAAAGCGTCGGAAATGAATGCGAAAAATTCAGTCCAAGACCAGTGAACGTGGGCTTTCTATGAACGGAGATTTCAAATTTGCCTTGACTGTCGAACTCACACATCAAGGAAAGACAAAGAGCCGATTTCGTCCTCTTCCTCCCCCGTAAGCTTTATGTTAAAATGTTGGAAGTTAAGATGAGTGATAAATGGGTCAATATGTGACCTGTGCCGAAACAACAGGAAGGAGTCGGCAGTACATCGCCGTTAGAACACTGATCGAAAGTCAGGTGGGTAGTTGGATCGCCAGTGCTTTTCGCGTAGATACATAAATATATTGACAACACACACACAACACACACACACACACACACACACCACACACACACACACACACACACAACACACACACACCACACACACACACACACACACACACACACACACACACACACACACACACACACACACACCACACACACACACACACACACACACACACACACACACACACACACACACACATATATATATATATATATATATATATATATATATATATATATATATATATATTATATATATGTACGTATGTATGTACGTATTTATTCATGTATGTACACATGTATGTATGTACGTACGTATGTATGTATGTATGCATGTGCGCATGCATGCATGTATGTATGTATGTATGTATGTATGTAGGTATGAAAATCAAATCCTTACGCAGGGCGTTCAGTTTGCCTTTAGTCATAGAGAATGGAGGGAAAAACGCGGCACATCATTTTTTCATTTATTATCTCACTCGCGATCATGTTACACCAAATTAGTAATCTCTGGCACCTTTCATTCACTTCAGCTCACCGTACACTTTTCGACATGCGCCCCTGGAGCTGCCCAGGTCATCTACCACGCAAGGTTCACACCCTCACACGACGTGACAGACAATGCACAACAAAAATAACAGTAACAATCAGCATCAGCTGTTCGGATGCATGGTAACATTTCTCACTCTTTCTTCGTAACAAGCCGTTGACGGTACCGACGTCCAGCGACCTCTCCACAAATAAGACAACAACAAAAATAAATAGGCGCATCTACAGGTCGTCCTCGAAGTACAGGGATACACATATATCACAAGTATGTACAGGTATTGTCGCGAGCGACGGCTGCTCCGAGGAGGAGAGGACAGCAGGGGCCAGAATCCAGGCAGCGAGGCTGCCGACGTCACCCTTACGGCACGGTGACGGACGGCTCACCCGCGCCACACTGGAAGTGGGTCGGGCGACGGCCTAGGCCACATCCCCACGGTGACGTCACTGCAGTGTCACTGCCCAGATGCCAGCGGCAGCGGCTTATGGGTGCCACGAGCCGCTGTGGGGTCAGCTGATCTGGGTGGAGACACTAGCGAGTCGCTGCCTCGGGCCTCTGATCGCTATCTAGTCATGCTTTCTAGCTTTTGCGGTGCGTAGTTTGTACTACACTCAGACGCCTTACACTCGACGCATCGCCTTACCCATTCTCTTTTTTCTCACCCACTCTACCTTAAGTTAAACAACAACACTTCTCACCACTCTTTCCCCACTGGAAGCAGCGTGACGACCAGCTATAAACAAACGGTGAGCAGGCAGTGTCATGCCAACAAATGTTGAGCAAGTAGACAGTCGAGTACCCAGTTTGAGCTTTTGACCATTGAGCAGTGATTACACATTTCAGGGAAATGTGTTGTTATTTGGCAACTTCCCCGACTAGAATACTCAGGGCTCACCTAGCTACATCCGCACGCCCCCAGTCAAAGCGTCCTTGCACTTGCGAAGTTTCAAACGACTTCCAAACGGCTAAATAAGCTCCATCAACCGTGACAGAAGGAGGCAAATAAAAAACGGCCGCGTCAGCAGCGGACCCGATTAAGGAGATATGCTCAGTGACCCGAGGCAGGCAGTGGCCGCTAGTGTGGTCCATCCAGTTCAGCCAGCCCGTGTTGGGAGTCGGGTGTGGGAGAGAGTCGTGCCGATCCACTAAGCTACGATGAGGCGGCCGACCTGTGGTCGGTGCCGGCCGCGAGTGAGCCAGACCGGCGGACTCCGCGGCCGCGCCAAACCCCTGCCCGTTGGCACGCGACCTGGCACCGCCTTCGCCGTCCGAAGAGGGTGCAGGTCAGGTCAGGTCAGGTCAGGTCAGGTCGGGGCTCGCCAGGCAGGGGTGCGTGAGCCCAGCCTCCCCCGGTGACGATGAGCTCGACGTGTAATGCCTCGCGCTCAGAAGTGACCGCTCTTCTTGTGCAGGAAGATGGGGTTCTCGAAGGCGGAGAGGACCGACCGGTCGCCGCCGAACGCCCGGTACCGCAGGCACAGGAAGGCAGACAGCAGGCAGGAGATGATGAGGATGGCCAGCAGGACGATGAGCGTGGCCGCGAAGCCGGGCGTCGACATGCAGATCAGGTGGTCGTCGCTGCGCACCGGGAACACCACCGTCTCCGTGTCGTTGCCGGCGGGCGCCTCCAGCGCGAAGGCCAGGTCCCGCGACGACACCACCTGGATGACGCGGTTGATGCCGACGTCGCGGGCGTCTTCGGCGGGCGCCGACCGACGCACGCGGGGCCCGTCGTAGCCCTGCGCCGGCGGGGCGTCATAAGCGTTGGCAGGCCGGGGCTCGATGGCGCCGCCGGCCGACGCGCACTGCTCGGGCACTGGTACCGGCATATCTGCACCGTGCACTGGAAGTGCACCTCCATCGAGTCGGGGAACTTGAACGCCTGGAAGTGCGTGTAGGAAAGCACAGACGCTGACGCGCCGAAGTTCTTGATCTTGGTGAACTTGGACATGAGCTTGGGACGCGTGATGCAGCCGGCCTGGTCCACCAGCTGGATGGGCGCGCGCTTGCCGTCGTGCGCCATGCAGTTGCGGACGAGCATGTCGAACTTGTTGTCGTCGTCCTTGATGGCCAGCACCATGGTCATGGTCTGGCCGATCTTGACCAGGCCGGACACTTCCGACGCCCAGGGGCCCTTGCCCACCTGGATCTGCATCCAGCAGCCGACGTTATCGCCGGCGAAGTCGGCGCGCACCACGTCCAGCATGTCCACGGGGAACGGTCGGAAGGTGACGGCCTTCTCGTACTGGTTGTGCCAGGTGCAGCGCAGCTTGCGCGCCTGGTCCCACACCTCCTGCACCTGCGGATCGTACTGCATGATGATGGTGTTCTCGAAGTAGGTGCCGGAGCCCGAGTCGGAGCCGTAGCCGTACTGGCCGTTCTCCGTGTTACCGGTCGTGCCGCACGCGTTGATGCTAATGTCGAACTGAGCGCTGGTGCTGCCCGAGCCTGACTGCATGTGCACGCAGTTGTAGTTGCTGTAGTGGCCCTTGCTGAAGATGATACCGTAGAAGGGCGTGTCGAACTGCACCGACACGCGCATCAGCGACTTATCGCACTGGACGTCCAGCGACACGATCTTGGGCATGTCGGCGGCTGGCGCCGGCCACACGTCTGCCTGGGCCGCCGCCGGCGCCGCCTCGTACCCCTGAGGCGGCTCCTGGTACTGCTGCGCTGCGGCCTGCGCAGGCGACTCGTACGAGTCCTGCGGCACTGGCGCCTCGTAGCTGACCTGCGCCTGCGGCTCTGGGGCTCCGTATTCGTCGGCCGCCTGGTGCACGGGCGCCGCGTCGTACGACTGGGCCGGCTGGGCGGGCGCCGAGTAGCCGCCGCCGCCGCCGCCGCCGCCGCCGCCGCCGCCGCCACCTTTGCCGTGACTGCCGCCGCCGCCGCCGCCGTGAACGCCGCCGTCGTGACCGCCGCCGCCGTTGTGACCGCCTCCGCCGCCGCCGCTGTAGCCTCCAATGCTTCCGTGTCCGTCACCGTGTCCGTCACCGTGTCCGGCGTCGTGCTGGGGGGCGGAGTACGACGGCTCGGGAGGGGGCGCAACGTAGGCAGAGTGCTGGGAGCCTCCGCTGTGGGAGTCGCCGTGTACGTCGCCGTGTCCACCGCCAACACTGTGGGAGTCACCGTGTCCGTCGCCGTGTCCACCGCCGACACTGTGTCCGCCGCCGTGTCCGCCTGCGCTGGGCGCGCCGTAGCTTCCGCTTGGTTTCGGCGGTGGCCCGTAGGTAGCCTTGGGCGGTCCGTAAGTAGCCTTGGGCGGTCCGTAGACGGGCTTGGGCGGTCCGTAGACGGGCTTGGGCGGCCCGTAGCTAGCCTTCGGCGGCCCGTAAACGGGCTTGGGCTTGCGGAGGGGAGGACCGTAGTGGGGACGCGGCCCGAGGTCGGCGGGGAGGGGGGACCGTAATGAGGCTTGGGTCTGTAGACGGGTCGGGGCCGGCCGCGTCCTCCACACCCTTTCCAAAGCCGCCCACGAGTCCGCCACCCTTTCCCGCCGCCAAATCCTCCATGTCCGCCGCCGCCGCCGCCGCCGCCATATCCGCCGCCGCCATGTGCACCGCCGCCGCCGCGGTATCCGCCGCCACCGCCCGCCGTGGCCTTTACTGGGTGCGTGGGGCAGCACGACAGTGCCCGGCCTTACAGGCACCGCATACGGCACCGGGATGGGTCCCTGTCCGCGAGGGGCCGCCCTTCGGCGGGTTGTGGCGGTCCGTAATCGCCGGAGGGCTTTTGGGGCGCGCCGTACCCGGAAGACGGGGCAGAGTGTCCGCCACCAATGTGCGCCGCCATGACTGACGCCGTGTCCGCCGCCTGAGTCACGCTCCTCGATGCTCCTGGGGTCGGCCCCCGGGGTCTCCTCCTCCTTGGCGAACCCCTCGGGCGGGGCCACGCGCACCGGCTGCGGTCCGGTTGATCCCTGTTCGTCGACCCTCGACTCAAGCGCGATCTGGTCCTCGTCGGAGTCGATTGCGCGCCGAGATCTGCTGCGGCTCCTCCGCCGCCCGCCACCGCCACCGCCTGCCACCACCTCCGGCTCCTCCTCCGCGCCGGCCGCCACCAGCTGCAACACAAGGCGGAGAAAGTCACGCCCGGCCCGCTGACACGCGCAGAGCAGACGGTAAAAACGCCGTCCGTGTCGCAGGCGGTACCTCGGCGCGTGGACACTGCGGCACGACGGGAGATGAACGGGCGGCGGGCGCGGGCTCACAGGCCCCGTGTCTGGTCATGCGGTGGTGGGGCCAGTGCTGCGGTCGGCGAAAAGGATGGGAAATCTTCCCTGGTGGCTCTCCGTCGTTTGGCTTGGTGAAGGGCGTGAAGTGAGTTTCACTTCCCATGCCTGGCATGTTTACAGCTCGTTTCGAAGCTCTATTTAGTCCGCAAGCATGACCAGTAACACTGAGAATGCCAGAGGAAACGTTCTCACTTGCGGCTTAGCTTAGAGAGTCTATCACTTCTGCAGACATATGCATATCCATTGGTGTGGAAAGCTTCCATTCTATGACATGATGACTGATACCACTGAGTGGGTTTTCCTTTAATCTTACAGTAATCCAGAGGCTAAAGAAAACCAAAAAGGCATGAATCGTGCAAGCGGCTGACGCCTTAGCTCAGCCCTCCACACCTGAATCCCCTTGCGAAACTAGATCCCTGCTGTGTACTACCACTGAAGGCCGCTATTAAACCAACAATACTGCCCATCTTTAGAACACTTGGCGATTTTACCTCGTATACGAGAGCCTGCCTCAGCAAAAACTTCTGCACAGGCTCCCACAAAACCTGGTTGGTGGAAGTGTGTTTCAATTACACGCATTAAGCCCAGTTACTTTCCCACCAGCGATTTCGGAGTCAGTTCATCTGCTTTGCTGTCACGCTACATGTATTATTCTGAGCGGAGCTGGTAGAGAGGTCAAAGGTTAGCCCTCGCCAGCCGCCATGGAGAGCGCGGGAGGTGGACGACCAACTCGGAGATGAGCTCTCGTACTTTATCTGCACGTGTTTGCCGAGATAACTGGACCCTCATCAATCTGTGTAACTTTCTCCACGCAGTTCTTTAAAAGACAGTCTGGGTAGCGAACCAAATTATCTTTTGATATGAAGCTAATTTCGAAGTGAGAGTCCGGGCGCGGCCTTACACATGCGCAGATGTTTTGAGCCAGCTGTTACCGTAGCTCATCTCGTGTTTGTCTTACATCGCCATCAAGCGATATTCATAGTGATGAAACTTCGCTATCCCCAATCAAGTCCGCTGACGCATCGCCTCTCTTACGCGGGTTTTCCGTGTATACAGAGCAGAGCCAGCGCATCTCAAGGGACCAGCTGGTGCGGCTCCAGGCGTCTCTCACTCCTCCGCCGCGCAGCCAGCGAGGGCCGCCCGGGGTCCCGGGCGCTCCCCAGCGCCAATCAGCTTTCGCCGGCCGCGGACCGCCCCCGGCCAGACGCCGGAGGGCACGATCGTGCGCCCAGGCCCGACCGCTAATTAAAAACCGATCGCGCCTGCTCGGCCGGCAGGCCGCCCGCAGATGAAGCGGGCTGACCCGGATCGAGACGCCTCTACCCGCCCTGTATACATTACGGCGCGGCGCCGCCGGCACGCGACAGGCGCGGCACGCGCGGCGGGCGTGGCTCACCGCGTCGCTACGGCGCGTGCAGCCGGCTGCTAGTCAGGTGACATCTCCCGCGCGGTTGCCGTGATTTTACGGCGGGCGTAGAAAGCGCGCGACAAACGGCGGCGGCAGCCCGACAGATGGCTTTGAGTTCTGAAGGCGCATCTCAAGAATTTGTTTGCCTGCGGTAGCTAGCACACTAAATAGCCGGCGCGGTGGGCCCGCGGCCATTATCGGTGCGTAATTTGAGTGGTTGTGAGAGCTGTCAGATCTTCAGTCGATCCGCTCCCTCACACAACAACAACCTGGTCACCCGGTTTCCGGCTAGGGTGTCTCCGACACCGGTACTTTCAATAGAACTGTTGACGCTTTTATCCCGCTCGACCCATTCGGCCTGCACCGAGATCGCCTCGTAAGTCGTGTGGCCACATACCGGCGCAACTGCCGCTATAACAAGCTCAAACGACTTGCTCGGCGCGCATTGAGCTGCGGTAATCGGGACAGAGACATTTGTCCGCCGCGCCGGGGCCACCCACTCCAGCAGGCTCCGCGTTGGTCGCACAGCAATAAAGGCTCCATTCAGCCGAGTGGGACGGCGCCGGAACGGATGGCGGCGTGCCAGCCGTCGGCCGAGGCCCGGGGCCTGGCCGAGCCGGGGCCGCGGCCGCGCCGCCCGGAACGGACAGCCGCCCACCGCGCTCCCTCAGATCCCCGAGGCGCTCCCTCAGATCCCCTGGGCCGCCGGCAGCGCTAAGCGCCATTACTGACCTACACCAATTCAGCAGCGCCGCCGGTGGCACGGTTGGGCGGCTCAGGACCGCCTCTGGGTCACCGGAGCGGCTGGGCGGACCGGGACGGCCTCTGGGTCACCAGAGTGTGCCCTGAGGCGTGGTCCATCCCACGCCAACAGTGGCGCGTTACCGCCGCGCAGCAGGCTTTCTTACCGTGTAGAGAGCGGGAGGGGGAGGGGAGGGGAGTGGAGCAGAGGACATGCTGGAGAAAGACAAAATGGGATGTGGTCCTTTCGGCCTCACTGAGGCGTCAGCTATCCAACCGGACTGGTGAAAGAACTAGCAAGTAGATCAGATTCTAGACTTTCTCTGCTTTAGTTGCAGTGTTTTTGTTTTCTATTACACGCAGTGATATGTGTTCCCACTCACCATTAATTAGTCCGGAGAGATCGATTGAAGAGAAAGCCCGTGCGTCATCGTCACAGGCAGATAAGTGCGCCAGCATGCATCACGGAAATAACTGGATGTAGCGGGAGCATTTGAGGGGTGAACACGGTTTCGCCGCCACATAACTCATGACCCTACGCACAAAAAACGCACATTTGTTGCATGTGCGCATTATACTTATCGACCAGGTACACCGAGTTCCATGCCGACATGCAGCCAAAGGTCCCAGGCCGATCCACACCCAAGGTTCCACCTCACCCTGGCTGACCCGAGCCAAGGGCACTAGCTCCGGCGGTGAGGACGCCGGCCGGGCGGCAGCTCCGCGCGGTCCGCGCCCGCCGGCCGCCGCCGCACCGTCGGGTCGCGACGCTCCCACCGGCCGCGTCACGGAGGTCCGCGAGTGGCGCCGGCGCCGCCCGCCGCCGGCGCGCGCTGTCAGACCGGGGCGCCCGGTCTCAGCCGATAGAGAGGCCATGGCGAGATCTGCAGGGGCAGTCCTGGAGCCGGGAAACAACAGAGGCAGGCTGGTGCGGCAGCCGAAGCTGCGAAGACACGGGAGCGCGCGTGCGCGAGCCCGAGCCGTAACCGAATGACCGGGGCGTTACGCCCACTATGAGGTAACCCCGCGGACAATGGACTGTAAACGTGAGCTTCACAGGCGCGCGCGGCGGTTGCGGCTATTGTTCCGCACTGGCGGCATAAGTGGCCCGACGGGCGCCACCGTCTGCCACCGTATCGTGCAGGCCCGCCGGCCGCTGCGGGCGAGTCTGACTGGCCCGGCGCGGACGCAGGCCACGCGCGCCGCCGCTGTCGACAGCGACAAAAACTGGCGCGCCCGGACCGGCGGGGAGAGCACCTGCCGCCTGACCCGCTGACCCAGTCTGACCCGCGCCCGGCCCACAACCGGCTCGGCGTGGAGACATCCGGCTCCGGCGGCGACCGGCAGCGGCGGTCGTTTGGCACGTGCCGAGCAGGCTCGGGGCGAGCGACGATGCAGGCGTGCCCGTTGGGTGCGCTTCTATGCTACTCGCATGAGGGATGAAGCCATCGCTGGGAACATCTCGGGTGGCGTGGCGATGGGCGCGATAGTGCTGATGGCTTAGTTTTTGTTCTGGATGTTACGGATGAGATAGTTTGGTGCTAAACAGACCGGTTCATCACGGCCTCGCAGACCCGCGTTCAGCTTCCGGATTAAAAAGGCGTTCTTTGCAGTGAGGCAGACGAGACAAAGCGATAGTTCCACGCTTCGGGCCGCCCATAACATTTCCCGGGATTTACGTTCTTTGAAGCGCAGCACGGCTCTCGGTGTTATCGCCCAATGCTGAGATGCAGTTTCCCACCGAATTTCACGTTTGCACGGTCTTCGTCTTGCGTCACTCAGTCCACATTAGAAAACCACCACGTGGCACTTTCTGGGGCGCCCTCCGACTCGGGTGCTGCCAGTGAGCAAGGCACCGTTTTAGACATTATGCCGAGCACGAGCCCCGCGCCGGGCGCCGGCTGTACTGCCATTTTGGGGAGCGTTATCGCCTGCGTGCGCCCACGGGGGTCGCCCCACGCTGAGCCTCTGATGGTAGCCACGTGTTCGCCTGCCAGGCACCTCTCATCGGCGTGCAGAAGAGAAATTCTCAAACGCGCCGACTCGGCAAATCTGGGTCACGATCGTCTCCGGCTCTCGCGCGGTGTTTTCCATCACTCAGCCCTCCGGAATTCAGAATTACAGGGCTGCGACACGGCCGCAGCGCCGGGATGTCCGGGAGTGCTCTGAGGGTCAGGGCGTCGCCATGGGCTAGAAACACGTCAAAAGGCTTCGATTTCAGCGCCAAGGCGAGCGCAACTGCCCGGGACTGTTGACAACGTCTAGTGGATGATAGATATTTGAACTGGTCTGGTTGCGCGCACGATGTGCGATCAGCAATCCCTGTATTTAAACTGCTTAGGCGGCAGCCAGGAAAGAGCCGTGTCCGGTGGTTTCTGCAGCAGCCTCTGCCATTGCTCTCCGGACGAGGCGCCGCCGGATCAGTGTCAGCTATGTGGGAGTGGTTCCAGCGCGCCACACCTGACACCGGGCTGTTCAAACAGCTCGCCTCTCC